ACACACACACACACACACACACACACACACACACATGAGTGATATTACCATTGTGGGTGTCAGAGGGAATGTACTTTCAAGGGACGAAGGGATTGGTGAAAAAGGGCTTAGTAATGTTAATGGTGATTCATCCTCCCAATGTATGTCTTCTGTTGTGAAATCAGATCAAGAAGTAGCATTTAAATGTATACATGTGTGTATGTATGTGTATGTGTGTATGTGTGCGTGTATGTGTGTGTGTATGTGTGCGTGTCCGTGTATGTGTCTGTGTATGTGTCTGTGTACGTTCTGTGTATGTGTCTGTGTACGTGTTTGTGTATGTGTCTGTATATGTGTGTGTGTGTGTATGTGTGTATGTTTGTGTACGTATGTATGTATGTATGTATGTGTGCATGTATGAAATCAATTTTGACCATTAAAAAAAATGACTTATCGAGAGGTCGAAGTGGGAGATATGTTCTCGAATCGAACGATTTTTTTTTTTTTTTGTCTGCATAACATGATTAACATTGCTTTCATAATTTTTCTTTTTTCTTTTTTTTTTTTATTCATTTGCATTATAAATTGTTAGCATTAGTAATGTTATTTAAATTTTTGAATGAACATTTATTACAAATTATATGTTCACTTACATGAAGTAACGTAGTTAACGTCATTTCATTTTATCCATCATATTCATATTGATGGATTCTTTCAAATTCATTAATTACTAAAGTACGCAACAAGTAAAAAAAAAGAAAAGAATGTAAGGGAAATGATGATTAAAAAAATTGTTTAATTTTTAGTTTTCTTACCAATACCATAGCTTCTTATCTCTAAATTGAAATGAATATTTTCTATGGATTAAACTGATAGAAAGAACCTTTCAACATTTTTTGTTTCTCAATCTAATCACGAAGAAAATTTTTAGAAAAAATTATATATTAATTATATGTATACATATGTATAAGATTTATGTATTATTCATATGTTACTTAAATTATAATTTAATGCTGTAACTTTGTTAGCTCATTTCAGTAATTCTTTTTTTTTTGCAGTATGTGAAATAATATATAAATTTGCTTGTAAATTTTATTTAAGATATAATATAATTGATCGAATTTATTAATAAAAAAATTGTTAGCTTTTTATTACTAACTTTTTGCGAGTAGTTTTTTTTTTTTTCAGATCTCAATTCGATTATATTATCTTATGATTTATTCAGTTAAATTTTACACATTTATAATATGTCGCATTTTTAGGATCTTTAGGATCATTGATCAGTATATGGGAAAAGTGAGATTTTTATAATGACAAAATTATTTAAATAAATTATAGCGATAATAGTAAGCGGAGTGATATATTGATTGTGCTGTTTTCATTTGCTCATTTCTTATCTTTCATCTAATTTTCCTTTTACATTTCAAGTTTTTTTTTTTTTTTTTGTATAAATCGCAAAATTTCCTTTTTTTAAATTTAATCGTTCATTCTATTAGAAAAAATGGATTTCATTTTTCACACATTAATAATTGTTATTATCAATGAAAATATGAAACATTTCAAATTGACACAACTTTTGTTGTATCAATTTAGATTCGCAAAATTAAAATTTCACACCGTTAACTTATTATGAGAATTATTGAAATTTTAGTGAGATTTCTTTTTTTTTTTCATTCATCTTTTTTAAATGGTTAAATTATCTATTTAATTAATGATAGTTATATGTAATGAGATGGAATGGTGTATATATGGGAAATGTTGTTAATCTTGAAAATTACCACCAACATTCTTTTCATTGCTTTTTGCTCTGTTACAAAGCTAAGATTTGACAAACGATAAATTTTTTACTCATATTTTTCTCTTCTTTTTTGTTGAATTTTTCACATTACTTATTAGATCACGTTACTTATCAGATCACATTACTTATCAGATCACATTACTTATCAGGTCACTTTACTTACTAGGTTTGTATTTCTCTTAACTAACTGAATATTTTACATCAGTGAAATCTTAAAATGTATTATAGTGAATTTTTCTTTTCCATTTTTGAACTTTTTGCAATAAATAATGACTGTAATTGTTCACCAAATGTTAATGAGCGTGAAAGTTGTCAAATTTTCAATGAATCATTCTGATTTTGGATCATCAATCGTGAATCACTCAGTTGCTCAGTTCAAATTATTCAGCAAATGTGAGATTGCGGTTATGTTTCTTAGTTCCTGTAAATTTGTATGAAGTATATTTGTCATTGCTTTTCCGAAAATTTTTATCTCATTTTAAGCTATTCATTGAAATACGATGGTGATGATGATGATTAATGGTGATTTTTAATTTCATGAGCTAATAGTAACAATTCATTGTTTGTTTGATGTTATTCTAAATATTCTGTTGCATTTTCACTACTAATTCTTGGTAATAGAGATAGAAATTTTAAAATAATCAGAAGATAAACAATGTTAAAATTCAATAAATGAAATATTTGCACTCAAAATCGATTGATTGATTGGAGCATTCTCGAAAGACATGTTCTCTTGCAGTCATAGACGATTAAAATATGGGATTGTATAATAGCGATAGAATCTGTTATACTACCTATTTATGATATTTTTAAAATATTATTTTTTTACTGTTCAATGTTTACATTTGAATTACCAATGGAGGCAAACCTCAGAAGCGTTTGGTTATTCCCCCTGCACGGACACTGTTTTTCCGTTGATAAAAGTGAACAATTTTGAAAAGTGAATTATCATCCCGCAGTCTTTCGATTTATGAAACTATTTTTGACCGTTTTAGAATTTCAAGAGTAATTTACAACGAACATATCTCTCTTAACTGTTCGTTTAATTTTTTTTTCTTTTTACAGCATATTTGTTCGCCATTTCGTATCATTCATTGCAATCGGCAAACTTCAATTACAGTGAATTTTGATATTAGTTGTAATTTGATTAGAAGAATTCATTAGTGATTGTATTGCTGAAGTTGTAAGAATTTCCCTAATCTAAGATGGAAATCAATTTTTTTGCTCGTTACTCGTTAAATTCCATTAATTTTATAGTAAAACGATAGTTTCAAAACAGATGTCTTAGTTTGATCCATTAAACTTTACTTTACATTTCATTTCTATTTTTGATCCTAACAAAAAGTGAAATAATTGAAACTAACAACCAATGAGTTATTAGAAAGAAGAAATGAGAATTGAAATATATACTTCTTCGTTCAGTTCAATAATTTGAAATTGTAAACAATATATTTTATCTGTTTTATGTATGAAGAAAAAAAAGTTCGTAAGAATATGGATTGGTGGTATTGCTTTTAAGCACTGATATGTGAGACGATGTTGTCATTATGGGATATTAATTAGTGGGATTATCAAAGTTTCCGATCATTTGATGCATTCTATTTTTTTCACCTGTAATGGTAGTTGCACGTATGACCTTCAGCTCCAGTAATCTTCTATTTTTAACCATCTAAATGACCAATTCAATAGTTTGCAGGATTGTCGTTTATCCAGTCTATCTGATCTTAATCGATCAACTTCTCTTTGATATGTCATTATTATCATTATCGTTACCATCAGATCATCATCACCATCGTCATCATCAATGATGATGTTGATAATGATGATGTTGATTAATGATGATGTTGATAATGATGATGTTGATTAATGATGATGTTGTTAATGACAATAATAATGATGATGATGATAATGATGATGATGATAATGATGGTGGTAATAATATGATGGTAATGATGATGAGGGTGGTACATTAAAGACTGTATGTTCTATCTCATCTTTGAATGCAATGGCCAATGTGCTTTGCCTATTTTTTTTTTCGTTCTCTTTAAGAAGTATGGAGAAAATGTATATACATGTATACTATTGTTGAAGAAACAGTTGCTGTTACGATAGGATGATTGCTTTGTTAAGGCGTTTATAGCCTTATAGGATTCATAGTTATAGAAATATGATGATAAAGCAGAATGGCTTTTTGTCTTCTTTATCTTGCACGATTTTAATTTAAAATACAAATAATATTCATAATGCTGTTGATATTATTTCTGACTTTTATTTTTAAATTTTTCATCTTAAAATTTTTTTCTTTTCTTTTCATTTGAGAAATTTCACTTTATATGTATGATTGTTATCATTGATAAGGTAGTATTAGTTTCTTGGCGAAGTCGTGATAGCTTTATATTTCTAACTTTTATCACTGTTTCTCTCATTTTTTTCTACTATTTTACATTGAATTTGGTTTCATGTTACTTCTAATCTTTACTTTTCACTCACATATCTATCTTATTGTCAAGAAAAAAGTCATCGTATCAAAACTTCAATAGTTCAATTATGTCAGTTTATTGCATATTTAAAATGACTTACAGTAATATGACTATATCAGTGATATTAATATTATTTGCAAATGCGGCATTCTTACAGATATCGATGAATGATTATTATGCATTATGAAATAATAATTTACTATTTCCAGATTGTCCAAATTTTCGAAAGTGTTCGAAATGTCCGACCAGAAATCATATGTTAGTGGTGGTTCTTTTTTTTTGTAATCCTTTTGCACCTATTTTTCCTCTAAATGATAATTACATGATAACTTAGGTTTGATTTGAGGGAGTTATGTAATTGTTAGAAAACATCAAGTACTGCTGATATGAGTTATCATGTAATTATCATTCAGAAAGAAAAAAATCCAGCTAATTCAGTTACACCAATAAAGATTGGCTAATTCACTTGCACCAATCATTATAGTAGTACACTGTTGAAATTGAATCATTTCTAGCCAATTCCATATCGTAGCCAGCTGCAGGAGAAAATTGAACCTGGGCAAACACTGATTATTAAAGGATCGACAATTGATGAAAGTCAACGGTATGTGTTGAATTCAATTTCACGTTAACTTAGCTTATGAGATGGGATATTTTTTATTTCACCACTGAGACCATTTATGCAGAAAAAGAGAAATGATTTAATTTGACATTATAAAAAATTTCTCAATGCAAAAAAAAAAATAAAAATTTTCATTACTTTGGAGGGAAATGCCGCAGCGTAATGATATGTATAATGAGACTGGTTATTTAGAAGGAAACGGTAATTAGCACTAATTATTATTTGTTCAGGTTTACGGTAAATTTGCACTGCAAAGCAGCAGATTTTAGTGGAAATGATGTACCACTACATATTTCAGTCAGATTTGATGAAGGCAAAGTTAGTTCTTATATATATCTTTTTTTTTTTTTGGTTTTTAGAGGATATTTTGATAACATTTAAGTGATTTTGAAAGCCTTCTGAATATTAAGTGAATTCTTGGAGGGTAATTAGCACCTTTAGTAGGAAACATTTAAATCAACCTAGTATTAGTTTTTCTGTATGAACCGTTAAACTTTATAGTTATAGTGTTTTAATTGATGCAAATGTAGATGATTAGTAGCTAATAATAATATGCATAATGAAAAAAAATAACACGTATGTTGATTTGCAGATTGTAATGAATAGTTTTGCGAATGGAGAATGGGGTAAAGAAGAACGCAAGAGCCTTCCGTTCAAAAAAGGTACACCTTTCGATATTCGAATTCGAGCACATGATGATAAATATCAGGTATGAACCTGTTTCATTTCATATCAGCAAAGTGATAGTATTATTTTGATTCGCAATGTAATATCTCGAAACTACAGAAAATATAAGAGCAGAAAATTATCTGAAGAAGACAATATGTGTTACTTGTGAGCTTACGTACATACGTCGGAATGAAAATCTGAATTAGATATACTCTAATTAATCGTAGAGAAAGAGTTTAATAGAAGGAAATTTTTCAAAGGTGAAAAAAAAATTGGCAGCATTCTGAGTAAAAAATTAATTACAAGAAATGACGATGAAATTGTTGTAGATTTTCTGCGATCAGAAAGAATTCAAAGATTTCGAACACCGCTTACCACTGTCTTCTGTCTCTCATCTATCGATTGATGGCGATTTATATCTTAATCAAGTGCATTGGGGCGGAAAATATTATGTTCGTTTAATTTTTGGAATTTCGATTATTCTAATTGTTCGCAAACACCGAATTTCTTTTATTCTAATTACCTTTCATTGAATATCCGATTAATTTCAGCCTATACCTTATGAAAGTGGTATTTCACAAGGTTTGAATGTTGGCAGAACGCTACTAATATTCTTATGCCCGGAGAAGAAGGCAAAACGTTTCAATATTAATTTATTAAAAAAGAACGGTGATATTGCACTACATTTCAATCCTCGCTTTGATGAAAAGGTTATCTTTTTCATTAACTACTTCTTTCTGATAATTATAACCGTGAAGTTTGAAATCAAATTTTGTGTCCTGAATCTGGAGTAATTGCCATCAATTCCTGTATTTAAAAAATTAGTTTCTATAGTTTGCCATGCCATAAATCCAACGGTTTTTTTTCTTGCTTGAAGGATATTGTAGTTTGAAATATTATGGCTTATCACATTCCATTAGTGGAATGCTTCCCTTGTATTCATTATGTACTCTTATGATGTAAGAGATATAGTTCAATGAGAAAAAAAGCTGAAAAAGTCTGCTGTAATTTTAATTGTACGAATTACATTTCATATTTATCTTCTTCTGACGTTGAATAATTGAAAAGTCAGTTTTATTCTTTATTGCTTTCTACATTTATGTTTTTACTATTTCTATGCTATTTCAGTCAGTTACTCGTAACGCTCTTCAAGCTGGCAATTGGGGTAATGAGGAGAGAGAAGGCAAGATACCATTCGAGAAGGGTGTTGGTGCTGATGTGAAAATTGTTAATGAAGAATATGGATTTCAGGTTTCTTGAAATTTCGAATTCAGAATCAAATTTGAATTGTCTAATATCAGTAGAAAATTAAAAATTTGGTGCGAGAAAATTCTGAGTTAATCTTCAAATTCATTTGCACATCGTTCAGATCTTCATGATTTTACTTTTATTTATTTTATTCATTCTGTATCATTCAAATATATTCATCATTACAGATTTATGTGAATGACATACGATTTTGTTCATTTGCACATCGTTCCGATCCTCATGATATTACCGGTTTACAAATTCATGGTGATGTCGAACTTACAGGCATACAAATTCACTGAAGGAAGGGTGTTAATTGCTGGATATCATACATGCTAATCTTTTCAATTTCCGTGCTAAATCTTTTTATATCTCTTGACTATTTCTTTAATACATTTTCTTATATTATATTTAATCAACAACTGTTCTCTTCTTAGATAATAAATACCTAATCTAATATCCATATGTCGCATTTAGTTTTGGCCAAGTTGATGATGCTTACCCTATTTCAATTATATGTGTCGCTGGGGTAATGTAACAAGTCTTTTTACTATTTTAAAAAGTCTTTTGTTCATGCATTTCGGTTCTTTTAGAATTTCAGTCAAACAAGTTCTTATCTTTCATTAAAGTCTGCTGGAGCTTCTTTTCTAGAAATTCAAATTAAAAGACCTTGATTTTGAGTAGTTCTCCATAACATGGTGTTCATTTCGGTACTTCATTCTTCTTTTTCTTCTCATGATGTCTTAATATGTGCAAATAAAACTACATCTGGCATTGGGTCACAAATTAAACTTTAATTTTGTAATTCCATTTTAAATCGGAATACAATTTTCTTACATATAATTCTCCTTGTTGTTTTTTCGCTTTAGACATTAAAAAAATAATAATATAATGCTTCTTTTTTCAGCTTGTGATAACTGACAAAGTTCATTTTAAAATTAATCTTCAATTATTTGAAACGTTCATTGCAAATACTATCAAATAAAACTTGAACTTTTGCTAAGCAAATGAAATTATTCAATAATCTGAAAAATATTTGCTTCATTCTTAATAATGAGGAATGTATTGGTTATAAAAAGTTAAGAATATAGTCGACATGAATGGAAAAAATCCTTATCTATTCCTAAATCTGTAAATAAACATGCAGATTCAGAAGGAGTAGTTGAGAATTGTATACGGATTATCTTATAACGTTTTATTAAGTAATGAGTCTATCTGATATCTACGGTTTTGAGATTTCAACGGATTAAGCAACTTTCAGACTCCAAAAAAAAATCTGCTAAATGTAAAGAGTTATCGGGATTTCATGGAAATTATTTATTGTGAATTGATAGTTCTCTTCATTATCACTCATGATAGGAACTCATCTTGTGATTTTACATATCGAAAAGAGAAGAGGAATGAATTTGGATAGCTGTGCTAGGAATTGCTTGATTCTTAGTGGCAATAGCATAAGGATGAGAGCTTCGAGATTTTACAGATATTTTCTATAAAACTGAAAGATAACAACTCACAGTAATGTTTAGAAATTCCCGACAGTTGAATTTTTTCAACTGAAGTCTGAATGGTAGCAGATCAAATTGCTATTTCTTTTCAAAACAATCATTTTTATCCAACGAATGTGCAAGTCGAGAGGTGTTTGGATATTGCTGTTGTGTTTATTGCAAATTACTGCTATTTCTCTCTTCATTTCCGGATTCTTCTCCAAGCAAATACATTCACAAACGAATTCCGAAAGCAATGACGACGATGTGAATAACTTTCTTGACGGTAATAAATCAAATTTATCATTTTAAAGATAGAAATTAAAGGATAGCTTGAACTAAATGATTCGTTAAGTAAACAATATTCATTGGAATTATTTAGGGGACATTTTCTGTTGTTTTGTTAATCTTATTATTCATGTATTATCAGGCAATATTTTCATTTGTTAACTTGTTTGCCTTCCGTCATTTTACATATTCGAATCAGTTTTGCCTTTGTTTTGCCGATCTATCAATTTTCAAATTGATCATCTAACCAATGATTGGTATTGTCAAGAGAAGAGATTCATATTTCAAAATTACAAACTTACAGACTTACAGTTTGTATTATATATTTTTGGTATTTTCTATACTTTCCATTTTGTTTCAGGATGTGTATATGACAGCGTATTGAAGGACACATTAACGAAGCAGATGGTAGCAAAAACTGTGATAATTTTAATTGATGCTTGGCAAGAGCAGTTTTTCTATGGTCGAAAAGCCATGCAATTTTTACGCCAGCTAACAAGTAGTGGTCAAGCTGTAGCCTTCATTGCGCATGTGCAAACGCCTACTGTAACGATGCCAAGGATTAAGGTAGACAGTTTTAGGTTTATTTTTTTAAGGTATTTCTTAGATATTGTGCTAAATCAAGTAAATCATTTGGTATAGTTTTAGGCAGTAACAGCTGGTATGGTACCTTCATTTGTCGATGTGGTGATGAATTTTGCGTCCACTTCTATATCAAGCGATAATATCATCGATCGACTTAATGATAAAGGTTACAGGTAAGAAAAAAGATAGTTGTTTTTGAAAAGGCATTTTATAATTCGAAATTGTCAGCGTTTCTTTTACTAATAGTTTAATTTTATGAATTAATAGAAGTTATTTTGATATAGTTCCTTCAAGAGATGCAAGGGAAATGTAGAGAAAGTGAAAAAAAATGCAGAGAAGAAATTTGATGTATGTTAAAATTATTGAAATGAAATATTATTTTTCAGATGTACATTTTGCGGTGACGAAACATGGCTCCGCTTATTTCCCAACCATTTCGATAACCATTCAGTTGGGGTCACATCATTCTACGTCAATGATTTCAAAGAAGTAACTTTAGCCTTTTGGTAGTAAATTCTTCGGAAAATGCCTTCTTAATCGATATTTCCTCATAATTTATACCAATGATAGTGATTCTCGGTCGTATTTCGAGTACCTGCTTTAGATATAAGAAACAAAAAAAAAACCATCGCCGTAGAAAGTACATCGTAGCATTTGAAATATAAAATGGAAATGAATGCCATGTATCCTCTATCGGGTGAAAGCAAACTTCTGAACTGCTTCTGACTTAAGTTAATGTAAATTATTTTATAGATTGATGATAATGTGACACTCTGCATGCGTTCACGGCTTGAAAACAATGCTATCGAAACATGGGATGTGATGATTCTGCATTATTTGGGACTTGATCATATAGGTCCGATTGAAAAAAACCCAAAATAAACTTAGATATATTTATTTTAAATCAGCGTATGAAAAAGTGTATGTCAAGTTGCCTTGCAATTACCAGGACTTTTATTTGAGGCAATCTGTTTGACTTTGTAATAGTCTTTTTAAAGTAGTTACAGGAATTACTTTTTTAAGTAATGAATTTTCAATACAAGTCGATGTGAAAACAGAAGTTAGGTGAAATTGTAATTTTAGGACACTCTCTGGGTGGCAAACATAGCGAACTGAATAGTAAACTTATTGAAATGGATTTCGTTATCGAAGAAATCTACAAAAGACTTTACAAAGTATGATGAAAATATGCTAGAAAAACAAGAATTGATAGAACCGAAACTTAAAATTTATAGATTTGAGATGAAGCAGCTATTTAATTTAGGAACTAGGTAAAACGCAAAATATTTCGCTCTATTTCTTAAGAAGTGAATGAGAAAGAAGTCGAAACTAAGAGATCAGATGCTATTGTTCAATCATTTTCACTTGTAAGTATGAATTAATTGTAGATTATGAATAAAGGATGTAAAATGAGATATTATGAATTGGTTGATATTATTATTTGACGAGATGTTATTAATTGATTGGATTTCCAGACTTAAATTGTTAGAGGAGAACAAATGTGTTAGTTATTATAATTCAGATATACAGTACGAACTTTTCCATAATTGTATTTGGTGATCATGGAATGACCGAAGGTGGAAGTCATGGTGGTTCCTCAGAATTAGAAACTCATGTACCTATTGTTTATGTTGATGGAAAAAAACGACGTTCCAGGAGCGAAACGTTGTATGGTAATTTTTAAACGTTGATTTTATCAATTTTAGAATATTAAAGATTTTCTGCATGCTAAGAAGTTAACGAGAATCATCTATAGTCCTTTCTTAGTGCATACATTATCATTGATGAGAATTCGATAAATACACTTGAACAAATATATATAATAATACACAAACAAATACACAAACAAAAATAGTAGGAATTAACGCCACTGATGTATGGATCGTTTATAACTATAAAATGGTAATTTTCATTCAAATATTTAGTATTTTCAGTTTGAAATTTAATTTAACACATATGGAGTAAAGTCCTAGAGAAGTTTTAACTTACTTCAGAGGTAGTTTATTTTATTTTTCGTTTGATAACGATAGGTTTTGAATTTATATCTTTATTAGTAATTTTCATTTTCTTGACTTATCAGGCAGGATGAAATAAGCAAAGTCTCTTCATATTATCAGATTTTAGTATCATCGGTTGAACAAGTTGATATCGTTCCAACACTGTCAACTCTTTTCAATGTGGCAATTCCGAGAGAGAATCTCGGTGTTACGCTTTTACCTTATATTGGCACGGATCAATCAAGTTTCTCAATGCTACTATTCGTATTGCGAAACGCCGAACAGTTTTGGAAGCTGGATAAAACATCAAGTAAATAATGTTACTATCATTTTGTTCAAGAGTTTTGCATTCCTGAAAAGATGAAGGATGTTGATGAGAGGAATTCTTGATAATCATAGCAATAAGTATGTTAAAAAAAATATTAAATTGATGCAAGAATTGTTACAAGTTGTATAGTTAATTACCTTAAGACTTGGATAACTCATTATTGATTGGAATTTGAAGTCACGGTATTATTTGTAGACAAGCTAAATCATTGTATCAGTCGTTCTTATGACAGTTTGCATAAACACTGTGCAATGAATATTTCTCAAAATATTGATGAATTGATTAGAGAATGCTTGGAAGAATTACACAAAGTTCAGTCGAAACTTTTACGTATGGAAACGGATTTGGACATTATACGGATAATGGTTGCAATTGGTCTTTCTTTCATTGTATGTTTTTAGAATTAATTCTCCTTTAATGTACATCTTTTTTTTAACTCAAGTGAGAGATTCTATCAATATTTCTCATTCGGATCTTTATTTATCAGTCAATCTTCGATTTTTTCATTGTAACGGAAAGATTTTGCAGCCCACAATTTCAACCGTACTAGATTAAACTTTTGTCGTTTTCTGTAAACTTTTAGATCAGTAACAAAAAGTTGATAACATTTTCTATTCATTATATTTATTAAGGAACGGAGCTGTTTAAGAGGCATAAAAATGCATTTTAAACAGCAGTACGTTGCAATTTACGTTTCGAATTTTTTTTTTGAAAGGATTTTTTTTTTTTGCTTGAGTTTTCAGGACAAATGAATGCAATAAACATTAAACTGACATTATGTGGTTTTTTTTAAAATCTCGTCTAATCAAAAAATTTTTTGCAGATATCATGCATTTGTGGCTGTTTGGCATATTTTACTTATTCACATGATATTTATGGTAAGCTCATCCTGAAAATAAGTTGCTTTGAAATTTTGCTAATACTCTGATAAGCCTTTTATTGAGTTAAGTGAATGTTCAGTGCATTCTTTCATTTATAAAATTCATATTTGAAAAAATTTTCAGCCTTTGGAAATGGAGATCTCTCAGCACATTTGGCTATTTTTACGCAGTTATTACATTTTGCTACATTTTTTGCATCAAGTTTAATAGAAGAAGAGCATGATTTACAGTAAGTTTTCTTTTATAAATGAAAAATTCTGATACCAGTGGTTAGATCATACAATCAGAATAATGCAGCAGTTCAAAGGATCATTTATCACTTTAAGAACATTATGTGAGGGTATCACCAAATGGGACTATTTATTTTCTCTTCCGATTAGATTAAATTTTAAAAATTCGAAGTTGCATCTACTGTCTCATTTTTTCGAAACAATTTTCAAGATTTAAATCTTGAAGTTCAAGTCTAACTATTAGTTCAAATCAAAAAAAATGTTTGAGAAAAATCCTTTGCGTAAATACCGTATTTGATGCAAACATTTAGCCATGCATCGGACATTGTTGACAAATTTTACCTTATTTAATCCATCTTCCAGTTATTTCTTTTTCGCTTCTTGTCTCTTTATTATGCTTCTGGAAGAACTTCGTACTTGGTTGTGCAATCGTAACAGAAGGCAAGTTTAATTCGTTTTTTCGATCATATATCATATATCAATTTTTTGATGAGATAAAGTTTGCAAAATGAAAATATGTTTGAGGAAATTTGTCTAAACAAATAGTTACGATTGTTTTTATTCTAGTATTCATTCCTATAATCCAACGAAATTTCGAAAGATGATAGTAATATTATTTCTATCAGTAATTCATCGTTTATGTCGTGGTTACACAGAAACAAATCGACGGCGTTGGGTCCTAGAAAAAAGTATTAGTCGCAGCAACGAAAGTGAGTTTTTCGTGATTTTCATTTCAGCTTTCTAATTCTCAAATTATTCCAAAAGGGAGCACCAATATAAAGATAGATATAATAAAATGGTATTTTTTAAAACGATTGTATCTGAAATTTTCAAGGTTTTTGAATTTCTGAAAAATAATTTTATAATTTTGTTTTTGCTGTTGAAATCTCAACCTGTCCTTATGTTACGATATTTATTGACTAAATTTAATATCTTTCGGGAAAAGGGGAGGATGTTATCGAGCCATATCTAATATTCAATGAAACACAAAACTTTATGCATTAATGTTTGCATGGTACTTATGTTGTATTCGGTGTTACCATTTTTAAGCTAATTTGATGAATTATTACGAGATTTTAACAAGCATTGGTAGTTCCAGCGATATGCCAGATATTACATCTTTGCTGTAAGTTCTTATTTTCCATTTTTATGAATTGATTTACGATTTATACTTTTTTTATTTTTTGAATGTAAATTGTTGAATTTTAAGCGAAAATATTGTAAGGAATTTCAACCGTTTTTAGTATTTTATTTGTGTATTGTAGAGAATGTTCAATTGAATACGTTGATGAAAATGATAGTTGCATACTGGGAACCAACTTAATAGCTTAACTTTTGCGAGTTAAAGATTTTTTTTGATTTCTGAAGAAGTATTTAGTTCATTACAGAATACAGTTCAGCGTTTTACGCTTCATTTCTTGTTCGCTGTCTCTAATTTTGGTTGGCATTGGATTAGTTTTACGTTATGGTAAGAGAACAGATCATCTACAACTTATACGTTTTTTAATATTATTTACTCTGTTGGGAACATTTTTGGCTCATTATTATAAATCTCAGTAAGTCTTATGTTTTATTGTTTTCTAAAATTTATTTCATAACTTTTTCGACGAAGTTGCAGGAACTGAACATAATTGTGCTTACTGCTGTAAGTAAAATAGTCACTATAAGGTAGTTTGCTTTTTTGTTAAAACACTAGATAGATAATTCTGATAATATATTAACAGATTTTTCAACTATTGAGATGAGTGATAGTTCAGTTTCATTATTACTTTAAAGGTAAACTTGGGATTAAAATCAGAATGAACAATTTTAGTCCATTTTTTCTTTAATTAAATTTATAATTATTATGCAAGAACTTTCAATTTTACATTATACAGGGCAATATTTTTGATGGTATTTCTGTTGAATATATTTTTGTTACTATTACTTCGTGATCTGTTTCTAAGCTTAATTATTTGGGCAATACTTATTATGCGAACATATAATCTACCACTTGCTATTCTACAATTGTTTTTGGGATATTGTTTAGCTTGGATTGACGCAACACCATTCTTGGTTATCCGTGCCATCTTTTCTTCCTTTTTTTATTTGGTAAGTATTTAATAATTATCAATCTTTTTTGCTATATATAATTTCTCTAATTTAAGTTTGTTATTGTGTTATGTTGTCTATTTATTAGAAATCTGAGACATGTTTTTTAACCTTATTCTATCAGCAATAGTTAAAATCTTATTAATTAAATTTTGAAGTTTTGCACCAGTCAGTGAAATAATTTTTAGCGTGTTACTCAGTTTAAGTTCAGTTTAGGTGGGAAAGATCATATAAAACTGTAAAGTGAATCTTAGATGTTCTATTATGGAAAGTTACAGGGTAATTCAAATAATCTTTCAACAATCGACATCGCGATTGGATTTGCCGGTGTAGAAAGTTATCAATCGATACGAATCGCTTTGCAGATTGTTCTCAATACTTATTCTGGACCATTATTGACAATGTTTGGTTGGTGGCAGTATTTAATTGGAAAATCTGTCACATCGAAGTCACTATCACAAAAGCGAAATGCACTACTTTGCTGGTTATGTTTTGTGATACAACTGAATATGTCATTGTGTTTGTTATCACTATATATTCAACGTTATCATCTGTTTGTTTGGTCCGTTTTTGCTCCGAAATTTCTCTACG